CAACCAGCTGATAATTAGCTCATCAGGTTGACAGCTATAATCTTTGTGCATATCTGGCATATCTGGGTGGTTTCTGACTCGTTTATGATTTGTCTCTTTCCCCTCCTGTTCTCGTGACTGCTCTGCTGCGCAACCGGCTGCCTCTCTGATTCCTCCTCCTGCTCCCTCTTAGGAGAAGCTTCTTCCTCCCGGACTGAATGAGTTGACTTCCGCTTCCACTGTTTCTTCTTGACTACAGGGGCAACTGATACAGTTGAGAGTTGCGTCTCTGGCTTAGCCACGGTACCCATTTGTATGTCTTCAGATCCAGAGACCCCCCTCTCCCCCTCGAGGGTGCCAAACAGTGCTCGGTAGGTGTAGGCCAGGCCCAGCATGGTGCGAGAAGTTGTGTCCCGTTAGCATAGCCAGGGCATCCTTTTCTCAACTGTTCTGTCACTTTATCAGGATCCCACACTTGTTTGGGGGTCAAGTCCCACACCATCGGAGGTGAAAACTGTTCTAGATACCTGCCCATATTCTTCCACGCACCTTGCCACCCACAACCACACTGCCTCAGGGCACATCCCTGTGCGATACTCCTAAATAGTTGGTTAACCTTAGGAAAAGCTGGAAGCAGATTCTTGAGACACACCAGTGTGGCATTCTCATTACCTAAGGATGTTCAAAATACTGAAGAGTCATTGTAACAAGGTGGAAAGCACCTACCCTGCAGGAGATGAAGGGGAAGGTGCCATTCTTTGTTTCCTCCACAAATTGACTCTCAGAGGAAAAGAGGGAAAAGGTGTAATTGTTAATTGTCTCCACGAGATGGTTCCCGAAGTACTGGGACGACAGCAATGCAGGGCCCAAATACCAGATTAGGCTCAGGGCCAGTGCTTTCATCATAGTTCTCCCAGGCAAAACACAACTGAGTGCTACACGGCACAGCAAACTGCAAAAGCCAAACCCAGCCTTTAACAAGCTCTCAAATTTGATGTACAGCAAGAGAGGGAGCATGACACGGAAGGGATAAGGGAACAAATAAACCTGCATCAAGAACAAGTAAGTCAACATTGTGACCAGCAACAGCTAAACAGGTACAGTAAGTTCCCTCTAGCACACTCCAGTCAAATCTCTCATTATCTTGAACCCCACATGTCCCACACTGGGTGCCAAAAAGGACTGTGGTGGACATACCCTGGATGGCAGCTAAGCACCTCACAGCTGCTCACTCACTGCCCCCCCGCAGTGGGATGGGGGAGAGAATCAGAAGGGCAACAGAGAGAAAATTTGTGAATTGAGTTAAAGACAGTTTAACAGGTAAAAGGGAAAAAAAATGAAAACAAAACAAAACAAAGAAAAACAAGTGATGCAAAAGCAATCACCACCAGCTGACTGATGCCCAGACAGTTCCTGAGCAACGGACCTCCCGGATCACCCCCACACCCCATCCCCAGTTTTTATTGCCGAGTGTGACGTTATATCGTGTGGAATACCTCTGTGGCCAGTGCAGGTCAGCTGTCCCAGTCGTGCCCCCTCTCAGCACCTTGCCCAAACCACTTGCTGGGCGTTAGAGCGAGGAGCGGAGAAAGCCTTGGTGCTATGCAAGCACCGTTGAGCAATAGCTAAAACTTCAGTGTGTTAGCAACTGTTTCGGTCACAAATCCAGAACACAGCACCATATGGGATGCTATGAAGAACATTAACTCCATCACAGCAAGACCCAGTACATCAGGGCAAATTTTTGTTCTCCTCCTTACCATACCCAGTGAGGCTGCTCCTGAACTGGCCCGTCTTGGGCTCGCAGCCCAGCAGGGATGATATGAAAGTCATGCCGGTCACTGGAGGGCAACCCCGTTAGTCAGGGCCTAGCACACATGGCCACCAGGAGAGGCTGACAGAGCTGGGGCTGCTCCAGCCAGTAAGAGGAGGCTAACGGGCAATTGAACTGTAGCACACAGCTGCAGGATAGGGAATTAGCGAGGCAGCGGAGCCAAACAATTCTTGGCAGTGGCAGGTGATAAATAATGGGCAATGTCCACCAGCTGTAGGAAGGGATGTTCATGCTGGACATCAGGAAAACTCCCTCACAAGGAAGGTGGAGCAGCACTGGGACAGGTTGCATGGGGAACCTGTGGAAGCTCCATCCCCAGTGGTTTCCAAGACCAGACTTCATGTCGGCAACAGTCCACTTCAAATGGGAGATTTGACTAGATGACTTTCAGGAGTCCCTTCCAGCCAACATTTCTATTCTTCTAAGTGCCTCATTTTCCAAACAACCTTCCTAGACAGCGTTATCACAATCGTGGAGCTGGAAATACTCGGCTGGCAGTTAAATGACTTTCCATCCATCGCAGACCTATGAAACAGCCATTCTAGCCACTGCAGATGTGCTCTTTGTAGGAGATGAATTTAGTTTGGTTTAAAAAGCAATTGGGACGTTGTCCTGTGTTTTGTGCACCCATGCAATGGTCCAGCAACACAATAACTGGGATAAGTTCAGAGGAGCAGCTGATTGGTATGTCTGGTTGAGTAGCTGGATGACTGAAGTAAATGGTGTGAATGCCTTCCTCAGTCACCCCCCAGACCACAGGCCTCCCTCCCCCTGACCTCCTTATGGAGGTGGGTGGCGAAAAGGAATCAAGGAGATAAAAATAAAACCAGGACAGCCTTAAAGTTCCACCATTGCTCAGAAACTGTATAAGGTGTGGGGAGTATATTAATACACAGCAGTGATTAATTCACCAGGAGTTTGACAGAGGGGTATAATACTTTGCTTGTAGTTTACCTGGAGGAAACAAGAGAACAAAAATTTCTCGATAATTACAGGCAAGTATCTTAAATATAAGATTACTTGATAATATTGGTAAGTGACAATTTTTTTTTTTTTAAATTAAGGTTAAAGAATGGTTCAAGAGCAATCAGAACTTTCTAGTGATAAAATACAAAAAAGGTCATTAATTTTTGCTGATTTACCTTTATCAATAAAAAGTACAAATAAAAAATTGTACTTTCATTAAAAAGTAAACCAGGCTTACACAGTTTTGCAATATGTTTGATATTGCTTTCACACAACTGAGGTGACTGAGGTGAGATGGCTCAGAATATCTCCGGCAGACCCAAGCTTCTTGCAGCCCTAAATCATTATGATCCCCTTAAGCGTAGATGTAAGACAAAGAGAAGACAATGTATGGCTCCTAACCAGAGCCAAAAAAAAGCTGAAATAGGACTCTCGTTGAATTTAGGTATTTCTTTCAAGCACATGTTTTACGTTAGCAGAACTTCAGGGAACTTCACAGGTGAAAATGTGCGGTGGTTAGCTAAGGCAGATGCCTGTGACTGCCACTGCCTGGGCCACACTTCTCAGTGCTCCTCTTCGGCCTCCAGCCCTCCTGCTGCAGCAACAGCGCTAACTGAGGCAGAAGTGCCAGAGTCTTGGGAAGAGAGGAAATGCCAGGGCAGGCATGAGAAAGAAAGTGCAAGCAAGAAGCGGTCTGGTGTTGAAGCCATCCTCCAGAACAAAGCGAGTCCCGAGTTCTGGATGGTGCTCAAGGGTGCTTATTATACATATAATATTATGGTATAATATAGGCATATATTACACAGAATATTATGTACATTATGCAGGATGTATTTTCGGTATATTTTTAGAGGACAGAGTTTTTATTTATATTTTGCATTCCGTGGAATGCAACACGCTGGTCTATGACAAACAAGCTGTGTGACAGGGGGAAGGAGTGCAGGGGGGGAAGGAGGGAGGAGAGAATTTAACAGAAATAACTCCACTTAGTGTTTGAGTGAGCGATGTAATGAAATCTGTTTGCTGTGCTAGCTGTCTCCAGATTGGGCTGTAATTACACCACAGAAGGAAGAACGGTAGCTGAGTCTCAACCTAGATCATTTATGTAAACTCAGCCTTCTTGTCAACGGCATTCTCAGATTGCATGCATGCAAACCACAAAAATCATCTCCTATGAACAAAACAGAGACGGTCTCAAATTACAGGCTTCTGATACACCTTATATGCTGTCTGTAACCGGACTTTAAAATTCAACACAGTGAGGTTCAAAACTTCTCCTGTATTTTCTGCATTTTATTCAGCCGGTGAAAGACTGAAGAGCACTCCTTCTTCCTTTCTGCCAAAGGCTGATGTCTAGCCTTACAAATCAACATTTATTTGGCTTAAATGAACGCAAGTGTCACAAACCTAGGAAATTCTTTTGTGTAAGACTGTGTTGAAACAAACGGCTTCATCTGAGGGAGGGATATTCCCTCCCCCAGGAGAGTTGGAAAAACCTCATTCTTTGACCCAGAGCAACATATTTTACACGCTCAGTATAAAACCCAGGCAGTCACTTCCCTTAACAGAGCCAAATTAATATTTGATTAAATATTTTAAAGCTCCTACTTACCATGCTTGACACATTTTCTCAGCAAGTTTCTCAAATATGGAAAGCATTAGGCACAGGGTAATTTTACATTTGAATACATAAAAACAGTGTGAGGAGACATGACTGCATGCAGACAGAGAGAGGATTTTCCCCCATTAATCCCCCGAACTGCCCTTCCCCTTCGTAAGCGGGCACGTTAATTCCTGGCTTTGGCAGCTCGCTCTCTCTGGGCAGGTTTGAGCAGGCTTCTTTTGACACCTGGATCTTCACACCCCTCCATCCCTCCCTCCATCCCTCCCTCAGGCAGGAAAACCACTGGCCTCCACCCTGGCGCCGTCCCCGCCGGTGCCCAATCAATACCAACTTATTTCCTGTCCATTTGCTGAGGTCACGGAAACAGGACTCATTAATTATTTCTACCGGTGCAGCCTCAAGTGCACTTCTGGCACGACAAGAGAAAGCCGGCTGTGACCTTTTTTTCTTCCCCCTCCCGAATTTTGCTGGTGGTGGCGGCGGCAGCTGGCGCGCGTTCCTCCGTCGGGACAGGACGGGGGGATGAGCTGCCCAGCGGTGCGGGGCGTCATCGGCGTCCCCGCTGGGTTGCTCCCGCCCGCGGAGAGGCAGGAAAACCACTGGCCTCCACCCTGGCGCCGTCCCCGCCGGTGCCCAATCAATACCGACTTATTTCCTGTCCATTTGCTGAGGTCACGGAAACAGGACTCATTAATTATTTCTACCGGTGCAGCCTCAAGTGCACTTCTGGCACGACAAGAGAAAGCCGGCTGTGACCTTTTTTTCTTCCCCCTCCCGAATTTTGCTGGTGGTGGCGGCGGCAGCTGGCGCGCGTTCCTCCGTCGGGACAGGACGGGGGGATGAGCTGCCCAGCGGTGCGGGGCGTCATCGGCGTCCCCGCTGGGTTGCTCCCGCCCGCGGAGGGAGACCAGCTCCTCCCGGGGCGGCAGGTCAGGGAAACCTGGTCATGGCGTAGACGATGTTGGCCAAGGCGGCCCTGGCCTCGGAGGGAGGGAAGCGCTCCAGGGCCGCCAGCGCTCTGTTTCCGTGGCAGCGGCAGAGCTCAATGGCAGAAGTCACACCTTTGCCGGCCTTGATCGCTTCCTGCAGCTGTCGGAAAACACAGGCACAACGGGTGGGTTTCAGCGGTGCTGGCGTGCACAATTATCTCGGAGAGCACAGGGCTCCCACTGCCCCTTCCCAAGGCAAAGGCAAGAACCGAAGCCATCAGACAAAGCTCTTAAATACTCTCAGCTGCTCCGTTCTGGCTCCCCACTACAGCAAAACTGCAGGAAATTTAAACTACATCACCCACTACTTCATCACCTGAAAGATGCTGGCTCTCCAAAGGGCACACTTATTTAGAACTTCTTTTGTGTGTGTGTGTGTAATTATCTGGGCACTGCATACCTAAGCCACTGCATTACACACACACACACAAAAGAAGTTTTAAATATCTGGGCACTGCATACCTAAGCCACTGCCTGAGAGCTTTTGTGCAGAACTGGTAGACCAGCCGCTCACTCGTGCTCTCATTTTCTGCAGTCAAAAACTGGATTTTATGAACACCCATTCCATCCCCTGCCTTTGGAAACGGGCACAGGATGACACATGTTGAACTCTTGTCTTTTGTAATACAGGTTTCTATTTATACACCCTATGATTACATTTGTTACAGTGGACAAAAGCAAATTTTGTCAGTAAAATGGGATGCGTTAAACTTTATCGTACTGAGCTATATCCGTGCAAACTCAATCTCAGTAAGGCTAGGGAATTTGACAATGGTTCAGAGATACATCATATGAGAAAGAAAGTATTTTCATGGCATAACAGACATTTGATGGCAAGCTGCTGGCAAGATTTGGCACCTAAAAAACTTGGGTAAATGACAGGTTAAATTGCTATGAAAGAATACGAACAAATATGTCAAACAAAACTTGTTGTTTTTTCCAGTACCTCAATTTAGTTGAAGCTCTAAACAGTAATTTCATTTATTAAGGGCTTTTTTTTTTAATTATTATTTTTTCCTGAACAGCATCATGAGACTGTCATGAAACACTGTTACATTTTTCCACCCTAAAATACAGTTGTCCCCAGACCAACTCCAGCCTGATGCCTCATGCCAGAGCCTGGCAACCAAGGCCAGGTGGGTCTCCAGGATTTGATTATTCCAAAAGCACAACAGCATTTCATGATCTTTTAATGTGTCCCACCTGGCTTTCACAGGTGGGTTACATCACTGTATCAGCTTTTAAAAAAAAGGGCTTTTCTTGAACACAGATACTTAAGAGTAACTATTTGTACAGGGGTTTATAAATTATGTTTTCCTCCAATACACAGCCCAATCCTCCAATTCATTTACAAATACATCAGTATAACCGTATCCACCTAGTTTAAATCACGTAAAAAAACTCTAAGCTACGACCAAATTGTAAGAGTCACCCATTTTATGTAGATACTTGCATTCATACAGAATGAATGACATTTCTTATCTGAATACAAACTAAAGTGAATTCATTATCTGTATTTAAAGATGAAATCGGCTGAAAGCATATTACAGCACTTGAGCGTTCAAGTCCCAGTTCATAAAAATTTTATTCTCCACTTCAGTTGGAATCTTCCTGCACTGTGCGCTGGAAAGGAACTTGCCCTGAGGCACAAATGCATTGCATAGCTAATTCAACACGTCTTCTAACGAATGGGAATCACCCATATAAGCACAGCTCTACAGCAAAGGTGGGGATAGGTGAGATGAGGTACGCCAGCAGCATGAAAAGGTGTTTCTTCCCCCTTCCTTGAGGCACAACTTTGTGAGACGGTAGAACTCACACATCTTGAAGCAAACTCTGCTGATTTGCTAAAGCTCATTAAAAAGGTTTAGCATACCTTCTAGTACTCATGTAAGTATATATTGAGATGTAAACAGGAAGGAAAATAGCTCCTAAAAAGTCTTCAAACTGGTCAAAGATCAGAGGAGCTTAGCTTAAGCATATATGATTGCATATATGTACTATGATTTACTCGTAACACCAAAATCTGGAAAGGGGGAGAATTCTAACGCAAGGACACAATCCACTTACGCGCTTGTCTTGTGTAAGCCCTTAGACACACGTAGTGCTTTGAAGCCGAAACAATTGCAAAGCTCGTGTCAAACTACACGCAGAGGAATCACTATACAAAAATCAGTCTAATCTGCTATTGAATGCTTCCAGCAAAGTTCAAGGAACCTCAAAATGAAAAATACCTGCTCATATGGCAAGCTCCTTCCTCAGCTTTTCAGTTAGAGATCATCCTACGTAATGAACAATTTATAGCCCTTAAAAACTTACCTGTTTTATATTCCATTTGCAGAATCAGCTGGTTAACTCAAATAAGCACACATTGAGGCAAACCAGTCTGGATTAACCAGACTGCATGCTACCTCTATCTCAGCTGGGGTTGTAAAAGGAAAAAAAAACAACCAACCAACAAAAAAGGAGAAAAAAAAAGAGTACAAATTGGGCTTCTTGTAGCAGGACAGTTATTAAAGAAATAGAGAACATAACTCCATAGGAAACCAGGCTTCAGTAGCCCTGTTGTATGCAAAAAAAGCCCTAATTTAAGACTTTAGCTGTACTGTTAGTTGTATTACAGTTACACTTTCACACTCTAAATTTTTGAGCTTCAATGACTTTATGTAATGCACTTCACAAACTAAGTACATAGAAAAAAAATCAATGTATCCAGTTTAGATGTATTATTTTTTAATTTCATTTGGATAGGAGCAGCTAATTTTTGAGGCAAATAAACAGAAAAGCAAAATGAACTGCTTTTATTTGTTACTTTATAAACTTTAATTAAGCTCCCTCATTAATTTCTTCTAAATAAAGGAATCTGCTCTTTTAGTCTGTACTTATGTGGCATCATTTTGTGCATCAAACATATTTCCACTTGTAGGAACAATTTCATCCATCATTAAAACACAACCTTCTTCAGGGTGGCATACAATAATTAAAACCGAATACAAGTCAAAATACAGATTGCTTCGACACTTTTCTCCAGTTGAACTGCTAGATGCGCTGGAATACTGCATTTTAACTTTTAAGCTTTTGACCAGACCATTGGCACTAAAGCCCTACTTCATTCTAAAGGTGCCAAGAACCTGAAAAAAATCACTGACTGGGTTTTGGTTATTTAAATTCAGCTTAAAGAATAGTCTTGCAATAGCGCAGCCAAGTTAAGACTCAGATGAGAAGTGATGCCCCCCCCCCCAACATACCAGCACTGTCTTCCTTCAGCACCTTCTGTTTTCCTCAATATATTCAGATATTGACCAAGCTTGACGGTTTTGCCTGGTACACATGAAGCTCAGAACCCCAAAGTTTTATGTCTGAAGGTTGTTCTATGAATCCAAGAAAAAGCAACATCAACATCATTATCTTCACAGTCTGGGAAAAAAGATGCCTGGCTGAGCACTGAGAACAGAGCACATAAGAGTCTTGCTCCATTCAGCCTGCTCTACCTGCGCTAAGCCCAGCCTCATCCACTTGACCTGCAATGAATTTATTTTCGTTTCTTCTCATTCCCTAGTCTTTGGCTGGAAGGAAGGATGGCTCTGATCAAGAGTCACAGAAAGAGCGAAAGAAAATAGATATGGAAAGGAGGGAAGTGCTGAGGGTTTCTCACTCTGAATGCTCTGAATACACACAGGAGGACAAACTGCTGAGTGACAGACTGGGCTCTATTTCTCCAGCTTCCTCCTTCCCTTCTCGTCATTTCCTTCTCTTCTGCCATCTTATACCAGCAAACCAAGAGGAGGAGAAAGGGATGCTTTCTGAGCCCTTCCAACTTTAAGGCTGCTTTCCACTATCTCCCTCTGCACCCACACACTCTGGGCATATCCTGCAAATAAATGGTAACAAGCCATTGATTGTTCCTTGAAGATTGCCCCTTGGAAAAGAGATTGCCCACTGGAAAGGAGAGTTTTATATCAGCACCTTGGTTTCAAGCTTCCATTTCCTATCCTTCAGGAGGCAACCACAAGCACCAAATAGTTGGAGTTGGGGCATTTTCCACTCAAGCCTCTGAGGTTTCCTGGGCCAAGGACAGAACCAAAACCCAGAACAGCAGCCACTTTCTATGAAAAGGGGGATCTGGGTTCAAGACCTTGGTCTCAGGACTGCTTCCATCTCTCATATTAAAAGCTACTGGACAAAATAGAGGTAGCTTTGGAGCAATGGCCATGTAACCATCTATAGTCCATTCGTGGTTCTGGCCCTACATGTGGGAACAGAAGGATGCTTACGGATGAGAACTTTACTTCTCTGTTCACTCACTGACTTACCCTTCTAAGTCCACCATAAAACCAAAAGAGTATGCTTGTGTGTCCCATCTCTCTGCTTATGAGCTAGTAAGACATTAAAACTAAGAAATTATTTCCTCTACTTATGCAGTAGAGCATAAGTGAATAATAAAAAGAAAACCTGTGTTGTCTAGGTCATACCCTATATAGAATTGTAATGAATTTGCATTCCTGATCCTACTTTATAGCATTAATGTTTGGGGCTTTTTTATTAAGTATTTAGGCACATTCATAACGGATATTCTACATTTGCATTAACAACCTTGATAGGGTCTACACAGCTTTTAGGTTCTACTGATTTGTTACAAATATACAAAGAGTAATGAAATGGTGATGGTGAATCTCAAAACCAACTGCTAGTTTCACATATGGTACTAAGTGGTCATCCAACAGAAGTTGTCTCTAACCAGATTTGACAACATTCAACTAGATTCAAATCAATGACCAACAGGCCAAGAGGTCCACATTCTGTTTTTCTGATGTTTCAACTATACTCTTTTTCCTTCATAGCTAGTTATCTACATGCATATTTTTTTCTTGAAGCAGTGTGTCCTTGCAGCAAAGATCATCAATGACTTCTTGGGCTATGTTAACAAGTGTATTCAGCAAGCAATTGCTGCCCCCTGTTTGGGGCTTGTGGGACCATGTCTAGAGTGCTGTGCCCAATTTTGGGCTTCCCACTAAGTGAAAGACATTGCCATACTGCAGCAAGTGCAGTGGGAGGCTACCCAGATGATACGGGGCTGGAGCAGCGCATGGTCTACAAGGA